TACCATTAACCGTGGTGTGAGAGGTATTAAGAGGCAATGCTGGCGAAAGAGCTGCGGTCTGAAGGTCATCGTAAAATTACAATTAATTAAGAACAGAAATGATTTAACACATCTTTCCAGTGGTTACTGAGCCTGAATCCATCTTCTCGGTTGAAATTGTCTCTGTGCTTGTATATGTGAATGGCCTCATGAACGAATCTCTCATGGTAGCCAGTTGGTTTGCAAAGAACCTCCGTCTTGGAGAAGTCAATGTCATGTGAGCCCACTGAATTGTAACAGTGATCTGCCACGGCAGAGGAGTTCGTCTTACCGTGTTTCAAGTCTGCTTTATGTTCGCGGATGCGATCCGAGATATGTCTTTTGGTTTCTCCAATGTAGCTACTACCACAGAGGCACTTTAGTTTGTAAACGCCCGGGTACTGTATGTCTGGAAGAGCATCTTTTACAGAAATTTAGGTTGTCATAGAGCTTTGCGGGGCTGTGTGGTAGGCAGTAGTGGGCAGTATAGATGGTAGTGTAGCAAAGTCCATTTTTGGTACCAAACTTGTCTATTGCTCTACACCTGAACCAACCCCCAGTGACTACCAGCATTGTGGAGTACTGCGCTGTCAAATAGCCCCCCCCAATGACCAACGTGGCCTCGTCCAGCGGTGGATTGACAAAGCGGGGCGCACACATGCACACAATACACTCCTTCTCTTGAACACTCATTTGTTTGCTGGCTATTGCATTTGGTTGTCCAAGGAAATATGTGCTTCCTTAGGGTGGGATCAGGAGAGATGGCGGGAGGGGGGAAAACACGAGAGATCCATTGATGCGAATTTGAGGTGCTCACGAGGAGACGTTGGTACATTGCACACTATGTGTGTACACCTGGCTGGGTGGTGCTGTGGTTGGAGTACTTGACACAGTTCCCATTAGGGTCTAACTCTGCCCATCCTCTCTCTGCCATCGATAACATACTTTTTTTCATTTGTTTTTTTCTGTGGTATGCTGGTCCCTGCCATAGGAATGTGGAATTTACATCACTGCCTGAGGATTTCCAAGACATGAACCCTGCCCCACACATATTTGCAGATGACACGATACTGATTACTGCTGGCCGCTCTCCGGATGACGTGATTGCTAAGCTACAGGGTGATTTCAACAAACTACAACATCAGCTAGTTGCTCTTAAACTAGTCCTGAATACCTCCAAAACCAAGGTGCTATGCTTCTCACCAGGACTAAAGCAGGAAGTTATTTTTCCCCAATTACATTCCTTAAATAATTGTCAAATAGAGCAAGTCAAGATCTATAAGTATCCTGGATTCATGATTATATTGGTAAAAAGACAAAATAAAAATTGGTTTTCTGTATCGACACAAGCACTGCTTCCCCCCAATGTTCCGTTTGGAATTGATAAAAGCTACCATACTGCCTCTACTTGACTACTGTGACATCGTGTATAAATCAGCCCCAAGTACTGTACTGAAGAAGCTTGATTCCATCTATCACTCGGCCTTAAGATTTACATTGAACTGCCCATATAGGACTCACCACTGTGATCTCTACATTGGGTCAAACTTAACATCTCTTAATGTTCGACGGCTTGTGCACCAGATCTTATTTATTCACGATATACTTACAAAAAAATCCGCAGACTACCTGCTGGATCTCCTCTCTGTTTCAAAGAACAAATTTGACCTCAGGTCTTCGCTCATTTACCAGCTTCACATTCCCTATTGCCATACATAAACTGGAGGAAGGGCCTTTGCTATTGATGCCCCCAGAGTCTAGAATGTTATTGACAATAAACTGCAACTTGAATCGCTACCAATGAGATCTTCTCTCAAAACTGCTCTAGAGGAGTTGTACACCCCTAGCTACCACTGCTATTCATTGGCGTAAAATAAAATAAAATGTTTTGCTCCGGATGACGCTGCAAAGTATTATCTGTATTTTGATTTAGCGTGCTGATCTTAAAGGTGCATTGAAAAATGTTATACTCCAACCGATGCGTCTGTTGTTGTGGAGTAACTCATGCAGCCAGCTATGGCTCTAGGATTTGGTGTTTCATGTTATTTATGTAGTTTATTGTAAAAATTCGGTCACAGTCCTTGTGATCACTGTTACGTTGCAATTATGGCTTTATTTTTTGGTGATTTTGAAAAGTTTTTTGGTTTTGACATGTTTGTTTGTTGTAGTAGAGTTAGACTGATGGCCTTAATCTAAGTTTTTGTGGTTGTTGTTGTTGTTTGACTTGCATCCCACTGGGATTTTTTGCACACAGCGTTGGTGTACGGTGCTTTTTTCAGGAATATTTTTGCTGTTTTTTTTTCCATGGATTTTCTGTTTGCACAGTCACATAGTCACTTTAAGATGTTTTCTTGTTCGTGTTTTTGTTTTTTGTTGTGGTTGCACCCGATTCAAGAGCCGAATGGCTCACAGGGCTATACCAAAATAAACTGAAACTGAGGAGAGAGATACCTTGACTTTAACATGGTCTGCGGAATGCATTTTCAAACAAGACCGCCATGCGTAGCCAATGACAAACATTTCACAGAAGCACCAATTTGGTCGAGGCTCAAACGAAAGCCGTCCCTTAGTGTGGACCAATTAGTTTCAAGGACAATGCATATATTATCATAGTATGTTTTTTGTTTGCATTTTGACTGCAGGTATTGTGGTTAATGCAGACATGAATCCTTGTAAAAGGTTTCAGTTTTGTTGCCAGAAAAAAGGGAAAAACCCTATTATTAAAGACAAATTATTTTACATTTTAATAGCACCTACTACTTTTGCTGCACTGTCTGACGTGTCTCGCACGTTTTATGGGAATAGAGAGCTGTAATTTTCATGTTCCTCAACGTTGCGGTGTGAGACATTACATTTCAGAAATATATACTTTTTACTTCCATACTCGTTGGTTCTTTCGGTAAAGTCACGTGGGTATAAAAGCTTTCCCACCTGATGATGGACGCTTGTGTTGCGCCCGAAACGGCGTGATTTATTTAATTTTATACCAACATGACTACCGAAAGAACCAAAGAGTATGGATTCCTGCAGTCACGAATGCTTCAAATCAAGATTTTTACTTCCAGATTCACCTTTTTGGATTCCTGCTTTGAGTATATTTGCATTGGGGTATAATACCCTGCAAAGTAGACTAATCTTCTGAATGGGAATTCACTTGGCTAGAGATAAGGGCCAGCATTGCTTCGTTTTTACAGCATGTTATATGCGTGCAAGAATCTGGCTTTTTCCACGTTGCTGGGTCCCAACAATTTCAAATTTGGCCCGTGACGAGACATGACATGTACCAGAACTGTGCCGGTAAGACACTCGTGTGGTAGTATGTCAGCCCCATTTACCGGGGGTGACCCTGCAAAGAGTCGTGATATCATCGGGTCACCATGGCAACGAAACGCACATATCGCTCGGCCACCTGGCCTTGTTGTTAAAAAAAATATACACGAAAAATTTCGAAAAATGTAGATAAAGGCCACAGATAGCCTAACGTAGCCCGTGTTTTCGTTAGACTTTCTCAAAAATAACAATTTAATAACACGGTTTACCAGCTGCCATTCCCCCTTGACCTTGCCTAGAGACCTGTCCAGTGAAGGGTTGAGTGAGTCGACCGTCGTGAGTAGTGGCAGGCGGGGCTCGGGGGGAGATGACGGGGAGTGAGGGGTGAGGGGATGGGACGGGGTGGGGGGGGTGACGCCATCTGCTTTATGGAAATGTGTCTTGACCTGCCTTGGCATGAGTCAGGCCCCAGCACAAATCTAGCCCACTTACAACTAAGAACTGTGGGATGATGAGATGCCATCTTTCCCGTCACCACTTCACAGCATGCCCGAGACTTCCTGTACAAGCCTTGGGATAGCCCTGTTCCCAGTCTCATACCCTTACCATTTGTTCCCATGGCTGGTATCTAAATAAACATTGTGTACTTGTGTCCTATATGTGTTTCCCCACTCCTCCGTCCTCCACATCTCCATGTGCCCACCTCGTCCCTACCCCTATCCCTATCCCCTGTGTCTGGCGACTGACCCTGAGAGTACGCACGGTCACTGGGCAGGAATTTAGGCAAGGTCAGGTTGTGCTCGTCAGGATAGAATGTTTTATAAACTATGAAGTTTACTGGCAGCGTAGCATAAATTAGGAAATGTTGCGTAAAAAAAAGCCTCAGATTTTTTTTTTTACCTTGTCCTTTACAAGGCCAGGTGGCTGAGCGATAGGGTTATAAACAAGTCACCCCTCCATGATTTGGGATCACAGTTAGATTTTTTAATCAATCCCTTTTTTTGCCAATCCTTTTGTATAATCAGAAATAATCGATTCCTACTCGTGTGATTTAATGCTTGTGTCAAATGCGTATTGACTTAATTTGGATTGAGTAAATAATTTGTTACTTTCCTGCTGAGCTATGCAAGTGCTGTCACACAGCATCTCATTGTCCATGCTGCTCCATAGATTCCCCACCAGTTCCCGGGTCAAACGATGTAAGAAGGGTGAGCTCTCCATCTCCAAAAAGCCTCCAGACCACAGTCCTCACCAACTTACGATGTCAGGGACAAAACGTCTGAAATCATGGGGGGCATCACTCAGGATAGGTGGAGTGGTTGGGCAGTCATGAGCGCATTCCACGATGAACCCAGAGACCTGAGTTCGATCCCTCGCCATAGCCAACTGCAGTGGTGAGTGACAACTGAAACTGTCCTTCCTCTGCACGAAGCTGCATTGACCAGTGCGGTAAACCATGGTCAAACAATCCTCATCACTGAGACACGCAGGAAGGCCTTCATCCAGCAGTAGATTGATAGAGGGCAGTACGTTATACATGATCATCTTGCTTATAAAGAACCCAGGTCTGCCACATATTAAAACGTGCCCTGGAACGACGAGGCACCCAATGTCTGCCTGTTCCCTTGCCTCCAGTGTCCTGCTGTGGCCACCCACGTGCGTGTGCTGATTGTGGCGATCGCTGTGTCTCTTCTGTGCATGCGTGCGTGCAGTGATGGACTTTGGGTTGTTCTTGGCGGACGAGGACCCCAAGAAGGGCATCTGGCTGGAGGGAGAGCGTAATCTGGATTACTACATGCTGCGGGATGGGGTGAGTTGCACTGCTCCCCCACCCCTTTAAAGGAATATTCCACTGCCGACACACACATCTGAAAGTGGGGTTTTTTTTGTGCTTGAATGTTGGATGAATGTTGTTGCGCTGTGCAATGTTAAAGGTGCGGTAGAAATGCAGTTTTCTCCTCGTGACATTGAATATGTGCAGGATGTCAGTTCAGGCGTCTGCATGCATTTGGCGGTGACGTGGAATAGCGGTGGCGCACCCGCCCCTCGTGGCTGAGGTTCACGGTTCGAATCCGGCGGCCGCCCTGATTATTACTGCGGGTGTAAATAACCGTGGCAATACTACGTGGTGGCCGCTGCACAGCGTTAAAGGATCCCCTGACGTTGTACACAAGAGTAGGCCATTGTGTGCCAGCGTGAGGGGCCTAACTTGCTAGGCTTGCAAATTTCCGGCAAAATATTAAATTGGGATTACACAAAGTAACCATTGCCCCCCTCCTGGAAAATCAATGCCCCAGGTCACTCTTGTAAATGAGTATCTTTAGTTCTCACCGGGTTCAACTAAATATACTTGAAACTTGATGCATAAGTGCGAAGTTGGTGGTGTTCACCTCTCGACATGATCCAGTTGTAAACAAGTCCACAATCATTATGACACCTCCTTTGCCAGTAACAAGATATAGGAATAGGTTTTACCCTTTTTAACTGGCACAAAAACTGACACCTTTATTCAAGGCATCATGTTTGCAATAACCACAACACAAGCAGTCAAAATGCAAACAAAAACGACAACTCTGATAATAATATGCACTGTCCTTGAATTTGATTGGTCCACACCCGAGACGGCTTTTCTTAGAGCCTAGTCTCCATTGGTGTTAGACCAGAAGACGCCAAAAGGCGTACAACTCAAAAACAGCGTACTATCAGAGTTGAGGGCTCGGGGTGAGCATTTACATTATGAGACCTCCTTTGCTAGTAACAAGATATAGGAATAGGTTTTACCCTTTTAACTGGCACAAAAACTGACACCTTTATTCAAGGCATCATGTTTGCAATAACCACAACACAAGCAGTCAAAATGCAAACAAAAAAGACAACTCTGATAATAAGGGTAAAACCTATTCCTATATCTTGTTACTGGCAAAGGAGGTCTCATAATGTAAATGCTCACCCCGAGCCCTCAATACTCTGATAGTGCGCTGTTTTTGAGTTGTACGCCTTTTGGCGTCTTCTGGTCCAACACCAATGGAGACTAGGCTCTAAGAAAAGCCGTCTCGGGTGTGGACCAATCAAATTCAAGGACAGTGCATATTATTATCAGAGTTGTCTTTTTTGTTTGCATTTCGACTGCTTGTGTTGTGGTTATTGCAAACATGATGCCTTGAATAAAGGTGTCAGTTTTTGTGCCAGTTAAAAGGGTAAACCTATTCCTATGTCCACAATCCTAATGCAGGAGATATTCTATTAAATAAGATAATCACTTGTTGACTTCCTTCAAAGTTGTACTCGTTCTATTAATACATAATGGATTTTAATTAGTAACCTGATTTCGAGTCAAACTGCATGCTCAAAATGTATATAAGCTGTATGCCCAAACATATACTGTAAGCATATATATTATGCATACATGCAATGGCGGAGCAAAGATTTTCAGGTAGGGGGGGCAACCCCTCCAGCAATGATAAATGATAGAGGAGTTGTTTGTAAGTAAGGACTTGTCCCTTGCTGTTTATTCGACGCGTGTGCGGCGATGGCGCAGCCGTCGATCGAGGGTCGAATTCGAACCGCGTTGTGTGATCGGCACCACGCTCACTGAAGGTGTTGATGCCTTCAGGGAAGTCGTGTACTGCGTACGCAACTGCGCACAATTCTGAGTCACTTGTAACTGCTTTGCCGTTACTTATTGCCAATTATGGACTCAGACTATTGTCCTATTATCTCATAGAGTCCCTGGCACATAATAATAATAATATGCTACACAGTAGCAGTGGGGGTCGCAAAATGCCGATTTATTACTAATGAACCCCAATGATCCGATCGAAATTAGGGATTTTGATCGGATCATTGGGGGGGGGCACGTGCCACCCCACTGGTGGAGCTAGTGCATACATGCCTGATGCTCACAGAGCCAACTTTGGTGCTTCATGCACTCAGTGGTTCGTGCACTGCACTGCGTGTCGGCCACCTGAGTTTGATTCTCAGCCAAGGGGCAAATAAAGTGGCAAGTGATATCTGAGCCAGTCCTGGGCCCCCCTTCACACAGACCAGTCTAGTGTAGTACGGCATGGTTAAACAAACCCTGATGACTTACAGAGCATAGGGAGGCCTTCATCCAGCAGTGGATTGACACAGGACCATAAACTACTATGCATTAATGTTGCTGTGGGTAAGTGGCTGGTACAGGAATTCTGATAATCACACCAATGCAGAAATAAGAATAATATGCTCTGTTTCATCATCATCATCAGTCATGATCAATACACTGCTGTATAGAGGCCTCCCCAAAACCAACACCATTTTTCACAATCCTGTGATATAATAATCCACCCGGCACCCCGCACACGAGCTGACGTCATCGTTGACGTCCTCCCAGACGCATTGCGTTGACTTGGCAGCCACTCCATCGTGACGCTTGACCGTCGGCCGTCATCCCTTTGAGTGACCCGTCCAGCCCAGGTCCGCACTTACTTTTCTCATCAGTGAACAACGCTGTCTTTATCCTGCGCTCGTGCCCCCAAACCCACGCGTTCGACGTTTATTTTACTAGAAGTATTTTATTGAAGACGAAAAAACAGGGGAAGGTACAGCGTGCGGTCAGCCGGAGTTGGTTGGGGGAACGCAAGGGGTAAAGCATGAATGGAGCAACATCAACAAGTGAGTTAGGGTCTCGCACAGTTGGTGAACGTTATAAGTGGAAGAGGCATAGCGCAGGGGCGATGCTTCGAGGGGTGTTGTGGGGGAGGCAAATGAGGGTGTATTTATGTATGTAGAACTTATTTCGCACCGTACGTAGACAACCGTGCTAATTGGAGGTGCGGGTATGAGGGTGTGGTGTGTGTTGCACAGGTCGGTGACTCTTGGGGTGGTAGTAGGTGAGCGCGTGTTGATTGAGCGGTGTGTCTGGTGGGGCAAGTCGGAGGGATGTGTGCTTTCCGTTTTTAAGTAGTGTTTCAGTATTAACAATAAGTATCGGTTTGACCCTTTCTGGCAATAAAACATCTGTTAAGATTTATTAGAAATCTTTTGCGAGAAATCAAGTCTGCATTTAACACACATACCTGTGGTAAAACATGCAAACAAACATGCTCTGATAATAAATGGGCATTGTCTTTGAAACTGATTGGCCTACACCAGAGACGGCCTTCTTTATGGCCTAGTCTCACCAGTGTTAGACCAGCAAACAGTACAAATACAATGCAAGTCTCAAAGCTTTTACAGCTCGGGTTGAGCAGCGACATTATGGGACCTTTTTTGCTGTCTCTGATGTAGGCCAATCAGTTTTAGAGACAATGCCATATTATTATCAGACCATGTTTGTTTTGCATGTTGACCACAAGTACGTGTGGTAAATGCAGACTTGATTTCTCGCAAAAGCTATCCATTTGGTGGTTGGACATTTTAAAGCCTTATTTTATTGCCAGAAAGGGTAAAACCTATTTTTTTTCATATTTTTTTTGTAACTAGCAACCAAAAAAAGGTCCCACCGGTAGTGTTTTATTGCCCGCAGAGACTGCCGCGTCCTCACAGGCAGCTGGGTTTCTCTCCCGCAGGACCTGCTCGAGTACAAGCGCAAGGTGCGCCCTCTCAAGGTGCGCATGCTTGATGGCATGATCAAGACTGTGATGGTCGACGACTCCAAGACGGTCGGGGATCTGCTCATCACCATCTGCACGCGCATCGGTGATCTAACCGCGACCATTGCTTTCGTGTTCTATTGTGACGGATTTGATTATCGCCGATGAAACATTGATATCAACAAGCACGGAGACTATTCAGAAGGGCTGTAAAGATTCACCACCCCACCTTACACCCCTGCGATTTTAAATGTATTTTGTGATCCAGCATCACAATTCAATAGATGAAATTGAGGTACCGCAGGTGAGCTGGCCCCAAAAAGCTTGCTGATGAGAGAAAGAGCGAGAGCTTCATGGGAGACAGAGGGATCAAGCTGAATGATTCTTCACAAGGACATAGGAGGGGGGCCATGCAAATTCCTAGTAAATCGTGCACAGGACGATATGACGTAAGGACTCGGTAATGGAGTGAACTACGGGAGGAACTATTACAAAGAGAGAACCTTTTATGACTGAAATGTGTTCTTGGATCTGTTCACAGTCCGAGCTATAAGTCCTCCCACGTTTTGAGATCATAAACGTACTGAAACAACTGTGTTTTATCGATGGCCGGATTCATCATGGGCATTGCTCAGCATAATTGACCTCTTCCTCCTGAAAAACAGAGCATTGTATATTGTTCATCTCAATTGGAAGCCCTGAGCCAGTTGTGCCAATTCAGCCCATCATCTTTACTTGGTCCATAAAGTGAGGACCAATTTGTATAAATCTATCCTGCCACTCTGTCACAATCCAAGGGCCCTGAGCTAATATCCTCGTCAGGGATTGACTTGTCCTATAATATCTCTGGGGTTGATAAAATAAGTACCCCTCTGTGTGAAATCCAAAGTGGTCATTCAATGATCCATATTTGTATTTGGCATAATACAACGTAGGTTTATGCCAAAATACATGTCATTAACCCTTCACCATACCATACAATTGTCACATTGACAACACATGAATTCAACTGACAAATCAATCAATTAATCAAACTTTATTGCTAGAGCACTATTCGTGCAAAAACTGCAATACATAGTGCTTTACAGGCATGAACAATAAAAGTGAAATTGGAGGCAAAATAAAATCGCGTAACAAATTTCTAGCAAAGACATAGTAAAAATAACACATTAAGAAAATCCTAATTAAAAGCAAGTTTTAAAAAGTAAGTTTTTAGATTCATTTTAAAAGTGCTTAATGACTCTGAAGCCCTCAAATCCCCTGTCAGGCTATTCCAAATACGTTGATTAAACTGTAACAAATAAAGCTTAAGGCTTCTCGTGACTGAATTTGCATAGACTTAACTACCGCCGTATGAATGTGGAATTGACATTACTGGTTCAAATCTGCAACCATAGACGAGCACTGCCAGTGCTCGCTATACATGTTTAATTTCACTCACGAATCAACATTCACTCGCATCGTGAAAAAAAAGCCCACCGCATTATAATTCCATCTTTTTGAGCTCTTCATGGTTCCGCAACCAACGGCCATAACAGGAGCACCGTGGAGTGCAGAGGAGAAGCTGCATCCATCATTCAGAACAATCCTCTACTGGGCCTTGGGCACAATGGGGTTTGGGTCTCTCCCCTTGCGGCAGGCATCACAAACTATGACGAGTACTCGTTGATTTGGGAGGGTGGTGGCGAGGAGAGGAAGGAGGATGGCCCCACGTCGCCGCGCACCGGCACGCTCAAGGGTGGCACGCCGCGCACCGGCACGCTCAAGGGTGGCACGCTGCGCTCGGGCACGCTCAAGAAAGACCGCACGCTGCTGCGCGACGAGAAGAAGATGGAGAAGCTCAAGCAGAAGCTGCACACGGACGACGAACGTGAGTCTGTCGTGCGCCGACAAGGACCTTGGACGCGCTACTTAAGATCCTTAATAGAGGTTTTTTTGGGGTTAGATCGCGTAAATATATGAATGTGTCGTTAAAACCCGCCACCACCCGACACAGCCAATGGTTGTCACCGTAAACAGAACGTGGCCAATTCGTCACGAGTACAGCCACGCCGGTGTGTTGGAGAGCCCAGCCACAACATTTACAATCTGAGTACAACGTTTCGCCAGTAATTACAACTAGCTTCATCAGGCGAAAGCCAGATTTGTAGAGAAGTCTTACTGTTTCGTTTCTTATATCGAGGCGTAGATGTGTTGACCCACCCTTGTGCGCTCTTGCACAATGATGGGGGGGGGGGATTACTGAGCCTACGTACATTATGCATGTGTATTATGCATGTGTATTATGCGAGCCCTTTGAACTTGTCCTTCCTGTCTATTGTGTTTATTTAAATAGCCCTACCAACGGTAATCCCTATTGAAGTACGCTGCCCTTTGTAGGCATGCATTTATATGATGTATTATTTGATGATTCGCTTCCAAGCAGCACTAAGACGGTAGCTATCCGAACGGTTAAAGTTATTTTTATTTCTTTAAATTTCAATAGCTTCTCTAATTAGTCTTGGCCAGTAGTAGCTAGTTTTGCACGAAACTTCAACATTATGAAAATCAATTGAGTGTCCTTGTTGCGTGTTCTATGACTGCTGACAGTTGCATTTGGGAGAATTTAATATTTCTCTGATGTTCTTTTAGTCTCGTGCTGATCATTCATCCTGTTTGCCCAACATAACATTTACCACACGTGCAGTTAATCCTGTACACACCTTCTGTTGATAGCTTCGGTAATACATCTTTTGTACCAGATATTAAATTCTGTATTTTATGTACCGTGCCAAATCTGACTCGGATGTTTTGTTTTTCCAAACATCTGGCTAGTTTATCAGTTACTCCCGCAATGTACGGTATTTTTATCGTTTTCATTACTTGGGCAGTTTCAATGCTCTTGTTATTTGATTTGGTTTTGGTATTCAATGCCCTGTTGATTTGCGCATCATTGTAACCGTTCATTTGCAGCGCTTCTTTAACGTGTTGAATTTCACTTCTCAGATTGTCACCATCTGACACTTTCTTAGCTCGATGAATGAGCGTCTTGATAAGAGCAGATTTCTGTGCGGGGTGATGGTGTGACTCTGCATTCAGATATCCGTCAGTATGCGTTTTCTTTCGGTAAACACTGTCTTATTTTACCATTTCTACCCCGTCCTAGCAGAATATCCAGAAATGGTAGAGTTCTGTCAGCTTCTACTTCCATGGTGAACTGGATGGATGGGTTTTGCGAGTTGAGATGATTTAGAAATGCGTCTAGTGTATCTTTTCCGTGTGGTCAGACCACCAATGTGTCACCCACATATCTAAACCAAGCAGTTGGTTTTAGTGTGCTTGTAGCTACTGCTTTTGTTTCAAAATCTTCCACGTACAAATTCGCTATCACAGGAGACAAAGGAGAGCCCATTGCTGCTCTTTCTTTTTGTTTATAGAAGTCACCTTGCCACAATAAGTAAGTATTCTTTAGACAGTGTTCAGCTAGTCTTGGAATATCTTTGGCTAAACTTTTGTTCGTTACCAGAGTGTCGAGTAATTTAATTGACTCGTTGACCGGAACCCTCGTGAACAGAGAGGTCAAATCAAAACTTACGAGAATATCATTAGGATTAAGCTTAATATCTTGAATTATATTTACGAGATGTTCAGAGTTTTTGATGAATGAAGAGGTCCTACCGATGTAGGGCTGTATTTGGTTGTAAAAGCCTGCGTGTTAAACTAAGCTACTTAAGATATTTTTGTTGGTAAATATCTGAAGCTCTCTGTGTGCAATTTCTGAATGCGTGAATCTGCCCTGGTTACTTTGGAATTGATAAAAGTGAGTCGTGCTTTGCTGTCATTGTCATCATCAACATCATCATCAGCTGCAGCCATTATTTATCCACTGTTGGATGAAGGCCTCCCCAAGTTGTTGCCATCCCTCATGCTCTCTTGATGCAACAATTCATGTAGCTCCTGCACGTGGGCTGATCTCATTGTTCCATCTCCGCAGTTATCATCTTCTCAGGATATGTTCCCTACTTGGGTTACCATTCTGCTGTTGATCTCCATAGAAATGTTGAATTTCCACCGGTAGATCAGGCTCAACGATGAGAATGAGTAGTGCGGTGTGTTACTGGGATAACCCCAGAGATTACTATTATCTTCCGATTTGTTTCTTACTGACTCCTTAGAGTTCACAAACCCAGTGGATGCGAGGTTTGCTTGGAAAAAGTGTTCAGTTTATGTTTTCTGATTACTCAGCGTTTTATAAGCAATATAACATGCCTCCATATAGATTGCAGCATTAGTGGCACGATACATATGCATTGGATACTGGTATCCTTGCATTAAAGCAAAGTAGCCTTTGACTAAATGGCATAGAGTGTGGTCAGTCTCATTAGATCTTGGAAGCCAAGCTGGTTTCAGCCTGTGGATTTGGCGACCGCCATGCATAACGGATGTTACAGGCAGTGGTGGGACTACGTGGTGGGCAGCCAAGGGCAGTGCAGCAAAATAAATTGCTGTACTGTACTTATATGTTCCGTATCTCTGCTCCCTGCCTTTACAATCCCGCACTTTCCAGCATGGTTAAATAACTCCCACGACCCACGTGGTGTGGGGTGGCCCTCATCCAGCAGTGGATTGGCTCTACATGCATCTGAACATGATTGTTCCCTGCCATTTTTTTTGACGCGTGTAATTTCTTTAACGTACAAAACTGCAAAGTAATTATGAAACATCATCAGCTGGCGCGTGATGAATAGCGATAATCTGATTACACTCTGAAAATGGAGCGATAGTTATGAAATGACCAATAACCTGCCACACGGTAATCGTTCCTCTCCGTCGTTGCCCACAGCCCTGCGCGTGCAAGCGCCGCCACAGCACATGCTCTGTCATGGGGACTCACTCGAGTGACAAATGCCCGTGCCTCTCATTCACACGTGGATAGCAAACCCATTACTAATGCTGCGCACATGCATGCACGCACGCACGCACGCGCTCGCTCACAATAAGCTCGATGCCAAAAACAGCACACCAAAAAAAAAGAGCAGTTTAAGATTACGGACTCCATCAGGGTCATATTCAAATGCACAGTTGCTGCGTTCATGTCTTTAGCAATGTTTGTTGAGCAATGTTATTTTCTTTGAGTACGTGCAAGTGCGTATGCCTACGTCTGTGTGTGCGTGTGTGCGCGCCGTACGTGTGTGTCACAAATTAGCTATTCATTCTAAAATGGGGACAGGGGGGGTCGTTGGGCGGTGCGGTGGAATTTAGTTTGAACTGTGTCACGCCGGCATCTGTCGCCAAATAAAAATTTCGAAATAGGCACGCGGCGAGTTAAAATATATATAATGATTGGGTAATGAGATGGAAGTCCATGGGGATTTTTTTTCTTTATAGACTGTGCTTCTTCGTGAGAATGAAATATCCTTTGTGAACTTTGACTGCCATCAATTTTAAGAGATGAAGGCACGAAGGAATGTGTGTTGGCATGCATACACAAACTATAGCACACGCACAGAGAATGCTGGCACACAGATATGCGAAGACAAATGTCCCTGTTTCGCCACTTAAGTTATATCGGTGGCGATAACTAATGAACTTAATCTTGCCTAATCACGGAGTGTCGTGGTTGACAACTGCATGCGTTTTGTTGCCTTTGCGTCTGTGGTGCTGATGTTAACACACCCGCACTAGACGCTCGATTTATTACAATGATTGGACCTTGTGGAGGCCAAGGGTAGGTTTAAATTGCAATTTACAGCAGTGTGTTTGTGGTCAGTATCCAACTCCATATCACTGCGACTGTGATGACATGCACCAACCACTGAGCCACCACGTGCCACATGTGTTGCGACGTAAATGATGACTCGGAGGCAGATCTTCATGTAGGGGCTTGCGCCAGTTGTTTTATTAAAGACTTCTCTTCACACACGACTCCGTGTACTGCACACTCACTGCCTACACTCCACACCCCAGGGGAAGGGTACTGGGGAGGTCCCTAGCACACCCGCAGGCTACCCTAGCCTGGTGCCAATTTCCCCCTACCCCGGGGTCCCATCGCCCCCCCAGGGGAAGGGTACTGGGGAGGTCCCTAGCACACCCACAGGCTACCCTAGCCTGGTGCCAATTTCCCCCTACCCCGGGGTCCCATCGCCCCCCCAGGGGAAGGGTACTGGGGAGGTCCCTAGCACACCCACAGGCTACCCTAGCCTGGTACCAATTTCCCTCTACCCTGAGTGCCGACTTGGACTCTCCAGACGACCCTGAACACGTGACGGGTTCCAGCTTAAATCCCCCAGGGGGACATGACGTCACCGTCCCCGCCCTCTGCATGACGTCACCGTCCCGCCCCAGTGCATGACGTCACCGTCCCACCCCCTGTGCATGACGTCACCATCCGTGACGTCATCGTACCAGAGGGGTGAGCGTGACATGACATCACTGACTACTACTCTACACATGTATAATCACACTCTTTGTTTTTTTTTGGTAAAGTCACGTAAGTAAAGTAAAATAAAACAATTAAATCACGACGTTTCGGAGGCAACACAAGCTTCCGTCTTCAGGTGGAACAGTCACAGCAAGATCGCTGCATCAAGTGGGGAGCTCTGAGACCCTCGAGCTTATATGCAGGTTAAGGGTGGGGGAGGAGCCAAGTAGGGGACATTGATGGGGTGCGGGGCCAAGTTAATCCGTCTTTTGTTATGTTGAGGGTGCGGGGGATGCGGTGGGTCACTGCACGGGGGCAATGGAAAAATGGAAACAAAAATGGAAAAATTCGAAAAGAATATGCTGTGTGCTTATAAGGTAGCTAAAGTTTTGACTTGGTTTATGACATCTTTCCAGTGGTTGCTTAATTTAAAACCATCCTCTCGGTTGAAGTTGTGTCTTTGTTTGTAT